TTACTTTAATTTATAAATTAACAGTTGACAAGCCCTGTTAATTATCTTAAATATTTTATATTTTAACCCCTTAACAGCCCTGATAGTTACATAATAATTTTATATTTTATATATAAGGAAACAAATGCTCGAATAAGTTAAATAAAATGCTCAAGTACAAGGGTTAGATAATATTATAGGAGGCATTTAGGCAAATATATTATATTTGACTCAATAATCTGAGTTCTTATCCACTATACTTGGGCTTTCCCAGGTAATTCTTTTTCAATAAGTCTAATGATTCATTATCTGGCCGTAAGAGAAGATAAAATCAAGTTATTACAAAAAAATCTTTTATACTATTAATCACAACTCAAGCTTCTTCAGAAGCCCACTTACTCTGAGGCCTACTTCACATTTGGATGAGGTGTACAGTGGATCCAAGGCTGGCGTATTATAGTAAAACTGACAGGTTGAATCATGAAATTGCTGATCATAGACCAGTTCAGACCCATAACAACAGTGATTTCATAATTTAACCTAATACACTGTCCTTCCAGCAAATGTTGAGCAATACTTTGCTAATGAAATTAAATATTCCTGCTTGATTGATTGACAAAGAGAAAGCCCCTTCCCCCAGCTAATTTATAACAGACATTTTGATTAAATTAGAATTTAGATTTCCTTGGAATTGTTGCATTTAATGAATCATGATTTTAAAGCCAGACTCTGTCTATTCATTTACTATTCCTTACATGACTGGTTTCAAATTACCAAATGCCAGGGGCTTCAGAATTTAATAATTTCACCTCCTGTATCACCAGACTCTATCTATGCAATATTCCTGTTTCAATGCAGACGTGGAAGTAAGATCTAAATGTAAACAATGAGCAGAAACAGGGCAGCGGCAGTCCCAAGCAGTTGTTTATACTGCAGGCTCTGATGAGGACAGAGCACGGACTTAGTCTCCTGCGCTGGTTATGAAGCTGTTGTCTCTCAGCTACAAAACTACCCTTGTCTACTCAGGTCTGTGGTGCCTGGACTGAGATTTTGCAAACTGGATTTCTTTCTTTCAGGCTGGTTCCTTCATCAGGAGATGGTACTGGCAGACAGTAGACTGCAGAAGGGAGATGGTCCTTCCTGACCTATTTGCTGATGCATTAAGAATTAGTTAGCAAGTGCTTTTCACTCATCAACCACTTGATTCCTGTAGAAATTGGTGAAAGTTTCTAGCTTCTTTTACTAGTCCCAGAACAGGCTGGGCTGGGAACCTCCTCACACAAGCCAGCACCACCTGTGCTGTCCCCTCTCTTTAGGGCTCTGAGTCCCAATTTCTGTAGCCCTTCCTCTTAGCTTCTAAATTCTAAAAACTCTAAATTCTGCTGTTCTGCCCTTTTAACCTCAGTGCTGGAGTGTTTGCTGTCATTACTGTCTCCAAGCACACAAAGTTCTCTTTTAGCTCTCAATATCCATTAAACCAATTTGCCATAGGGTATTCTGTCTGTTGTAATATAGTTATTCATGCTCTCCATTTTTCTGCTTGATACAGCCCCAACATTCTGACTGATGTTAGTAACAGTTTTTTTTTTTTTTACCCCTTTGGCATAGAGTTTGTTTAAATCCTAATATGAAATGTGAGAATGATAACCTAAGAGTAGATCACATGTCTACTAGATAGAAATGTAATTGGTAAAAAATTGGCAATTCCAACATTTGATATCTATTTTGAATCACAAATTAGAAGAGACAAGAAACCAAAAATTATTTTGGAACCACGAATTAAAGGCACACTCCCCAAAGAATTGCAAAAACTTAGCTTCTTTCATTTAAGACACTCAAGGATGACTTAATAGGTAATTTTAGGGAGACAGGGTATTAATATATTTGTGGCAAAGAATATATACTGTATGCCCAAATTTGCATTTGATTTGTTTAGTATTTTTTTACTGTTAAGGAGGGAAAAAACCATCACAAAGCAATCCTGCCAGCAAACATGGTCACATTTCAATGTTCATCACAGTAAGATTGTCATACGTCTTTTAAAAGCGTCATAAATTGAAACTTTGTTTGACATTGCCTTAGTGCACCCTTTTGCCATTTATCTTTGATCTTCCTGGGCATGCAGGGAGGCTCTTTCCTTCCAAAATGCTGAGCTTTCTTTTTGAGAGGCAGTGACAGCCTAACTGGTTTCATGGTTGCTGTGCTTAAATAATTGGGTCACTACCCAGTGACCTAAAATGTGCTTTCTCTCTAGATCTTTCATAACAAGCTGAGGTCAATAGCTTGTTCAGCTCAGGTACAAGAATTCTACATTATCAGGATGCTTAACCTTTCACACGCTCTCCCCTTTTCCAGACTTGTCACTTCAAATATTGTACAATTGGTCTCCTATTCTCTTCTGATATTGATGTTGAAACAGCTTTATTCTAGATTATTTATTCTAATATTGTAGCTTTACAGGATTCATGTGTGAATTTATTATTGCTATTCCCTTGCTTAGATACATTAAATGAATTCTTATAGATAAGAAGTCAGAGCAGGATTTTTTAAAAACCCATTATGGTAAGGAGCCCGCTACTGCTCCACCCTCAGCTGTCTCGACACTTACCTTACATTCTCTACCCACAAATTAACCAACAGCAATTCCTGAAACAGTTTTTGCTTTCCTTGCCCTCCCTTTCTTGGCGGATGTTGCTGCTTCTTCCTGGAATATCACCAGAACTCTCCTCTTCTTTCCAGCAAACAATCACATTCTCATTGGTGGTGAATTAGTCCAAGTACCCACTCTTCCAGTAAACATTTAGGATTCCTTTGGGTCCCTCCTTAGAGTTGTTAGCATAGCACTTTGTTTCCTTCTTTCATAAATCTTAGTGCACTCTGGTGTAAATGATTTTTAAGGCTTTCTTCTTCAATTTAGTAATTGAGACTGACAGAAGAATAGCTGTTACAATATAAACATAATAAGAAAGAACCCATCAACCAATCCGAGAAGTACATAGTACCACATCTTTCACTTAGTTGTTCTTTTCATTTACCACATCTGGCTGGCTCACTTTCAGAGGCATCTATTACCTTAATTTTGTTTTAGATTCTTTATTTTCAAATGGTATGTTCAGGTATGCAAGGATTTTAAATACTATCTTTGAAGTCTTCTTTAAAAATGATATCCTACATACATCTTCATACATATATGGCATATGAATATATACCTATGCATATGTGTATAGTTTTCTGAAACATTTTTACTCAACATTTTTAAGACTGACATACGGAGGTCTGACAATTAAGTTTACAAACTTATCCTAGAGAAAGTGCTACATACCTCATTGCTTAATGTCACTATGGTTACCTTCGAGATACTCTGCTTGGGAAGCTATGCAACAAGTCCAGCACCTCATTCACTCTTCAAAACAATTGTGGAACTCTTTTTCTAGACTAGGCATCAAAGCTATTGTCTTATTACCTTTGATGTCCTGAATGTCATCAAAATTTCTTCTTTTCTGTATTTCTTTTATCTTCAGGTAAAAAAATAAGTCACTGGAGGTCAGATCAGGTGAGTAGGGAGGATGTTCCAACATTTTTATCTGTTTTCTGGTTAAAAACTCCCTTGTAGACAGTGCCATGTGAGTTAGTACATTGTTGTGATGCAAGAGCCATGAGTTGCTGGCCAAGATTTTCAGTTAAGATTTTCCTGTTTCTCCATCAATGGTTTCTTGGTCTACTATGCTTCATACAGTCAGCAAATGATTTTGATGCATAATTCAATTAAATTTTGCAATATTTTTGTCAGCTCACATTTAAGTAGCTTCCCTGACTTTTCTTCATCAGTGACATTTTCTCTAGTCTGAGAAACACAAAACAGTAATGAATGCCAGACACTGCTACATGTTCACACAAATATAAATACTGCTACATGTTCAGATGAAGACACTACTACATGTTCACACAAATACAAATGTGAAACACTGATATATCAAGGTTATGAAACCTTACTGAGTTGTTTGTACAGTGCTGCCAACATAAATGCATGGTGGAAGTTTGCAAACTTAATCATCACACTTCCATATGTTTTCACCTATAGTTCTAGAATCCTAACTTCTACTACCAAATTTGATCTTGTGTAAATACTCTAACATTTATTTACCCATTCTTCTGTTGACAAATACTTACACTATTTTCACTTATATAGTACTACTATGAACAGTGCTACATTAGGAAGCTTGGTATACCTGTTCAAGATCAGATTTTAGCATATGCCTTGAAATGGAATTTCTGGATCGTATGAACAGTGCTACATTAGGAAGCTTAGTATACATGTTAAAGATCTGATTTTATCATATACCTTGAAGTGGAATTTCTGGGTCATAGAATATTAAAATACTTAGCTTTCAAAGATAATATCAAATTTTGTGCACATGTGCTTTCATTAATATACACAATTTTTAATATTTTCTGTTATTAGGCTTTATATTTGGCAATCTAATGGATTCAAAATTATACCTTTTTATTTACCTCTGATTCAAATAAGGTTGAACAATTATTTGTGTAATTATGTCTCATTTGGATTTTCTCTTTCTTTTCATATCTTTTGCACATTGTTCTATGGGGTTGTGTTTTTTGAGTGACTTATAAGTTTCCTTTATATATCTTTATAGCCTATTTATTAATTCACTTTAAATAATTTTTCCAAGTGTATGCTTGTCTTTTAAATTTCTTAATGTGCTTTTTGGGTGACAGAGTTCTTAATTTTTAAGTGATCAAATTTATCTACTTTGTAAAATTTTGTAATTAGTAGAAATTTTGTAATCTTAATTTAGAAAATATCTTTTAATATAAGGGATAAAATATCTTTTATATTCTTTGATGTTTTTCTGTAAGGATTTAAATATTTGCATGCATTTTTTAAAGCCCTTTGATTATTTGGAATTGTTTTATGTGTATGGTGTGAGGAAATAATTCCATTTTCTTTTCTTTTTCTTTTTTTATATAAAGAATCAATTATCACCAAACAATTTTACTTTCCAACATGGATACCCTGGGAAGTCACTCTACCCAGGCTCTGTCCAAGTCACGTAGAGGAGCATAGGGCTCCACCCCATGATGTACAGTCCCTTTCCACAATGTTGGAGATGAAGCTGGGCCTTGCATCTGCACCTGCATATTCCTACAACTTCTCAGAGTCCTGTGGACAATGACTAGGGAGACAAACCATGCAGGAAACATGTACTGTACTAAACTTTCAGGTTAAAGGATGATCTTTGAGAAGCTAATCATTACTTCTTTCCCTTTAAAAAGAAAAACAATTTTACTGAATAGTGCTATCTTTTGACAGTGATTTGTAATGCCCCATTAGGATTTTGAAAATATATGCATCTACATCATAGGTCTTTATCTATTACATGTCAATTTTCTTCTACTTTGCCAATAACGTGTTAATTTTTTCCTTTGGTGTTTTGCAGTTCCTTGAATTTGGAATTTGTCTAGTCTTGAGTTAGTTTTGTTTATTCTGCTTGACTTTCTACATCTGTAAACCAATGTCTTTTTTCACTCCTTGAAAATTGTCAGTCATGATTCATCTAAATTTTTTCCCCCTTTATTTTATGAATTTTAGTCTTTCAGGATTTTCTGTCTCTGAATAGATGATAGAGAGATCCCATAGCCTCTTTGATTACTTTTTGATAATAAACAAAAAATTCACCTTCCATTTGCCAAAGAAGTATCCACTTTCCAACTAATAAACAGTTAATATCCAGCACACTGTAATCATTCATGCTCAGAATCCTTATCCAAATTATGAAGTCAGACAATTAAATTTGCTAACTCATCCTAGAATGTGTTATGTACCTCATTGTTGAATATCACTATAATCACTTTCAAAGTATTCCCCTTGGGAAGCTATGCACCAATGTCAGAGTCTAGTCCAGCATTCAAAGCAATTTTTCCAGGATGAGTTCACAAACTTAATTGTCAGACTTCATACAATGGACACCTCTCAAAGCCATTCCAGAAAAAGAGTTCCAAAATTGTTCTGAAGCGTGGACTAGGTGCTGGCATCAGTGCACAGCTTCCCAGGGGAGTACTTGAAGGTGATTATAGCAATATTCAGCAATGAGGTATGTAATACTTTTTCTAGGATGAGTTCATAAAGTTAATTGTCTGACCTCATACATTCTAACAAGGAAGGAACCAAGAAATAAAAATGATTAATAAATGAAAATATGTAAGAAAGTAATAAGTGCTATGGAGAAGTACAAAGTAGTGGAAAGTGAGAGGAAAGCTCAGGGTTGGATATGTTGTTTGCAGTTCCAAATTTGGTGATAAGTGGATGTCTCAAATGATGCATAAGTAATGATTTAGATATTCTCCGAATATTTTTCAAACTTCAGCAGATAAATATGCCTTACATTTCTACTCACCTGGTTTAGGATGTGGGGGAAATGATCAACTTCCATGGGTCAGAGTGAGGGTAGAATAGAAAGCACAGAATTCTGATAAGGTTTTCCAAATACATTTCTCTTCTTGAATCTTCCCATCTCACTACTTTCTAGAGCAGAAAGGGTGGCTGAGATTGAAAGATCAGTTTTATAATTCTTAGCATGTTCTGTATTCTCCAGTGGTGGACTAACATTGAATATATTATTTTCTGCCTTTAAAGGTTCCACCAAAATTAAGCAGAAAAAAGTCTTGATTCAATTTCCATGTGAAAAACTGGACCTGATATTCTCATGTCTCTTTTGTCATATATCAGTCTTATGGACCAGATCATGCTGGATCCTGAAAATACAACAGCAAACAAAATAGTCAATGGTTGGATAACTTGGAACTCTAGTCTAGTGAGAAGTGTGCACTAAACAAATAGTTACAACAGTGATGAACATCTCCAAAGAAAGGCTGGGGTGCTCTAGGTATATGTAATGTGGCAAATGGAGTTTTAGTTCATGTTAGGGAATGCTTTCTAGAAGGAATTACATTGAAGTCTTGAAGGTTAAGAAAGCTACAGTTAGCTCTGGGAATACTACTTCTAAACAAGAGATAAGGAAATGGAGAGAGAAGAATGAATGAGGTGCTTTCTAAAGGACAAATGGTACAGTCACAATTTGAAAAGAAATTAATGGGAAAATAATGAGAATACTTAAGATATTCTGAGCCGATTCAGTGAATCAGATTGTTGAATCAGACTAATGTGGTTCAGAGAGCTTAACCAGTTTTAAGTTTACCTAATAAATTTAAAGAGATAAGCATTGAATTAGTTAGACAAAGTAGTACCTGAGATAAGCAAGCTAATCATATAACACATAGATCAGGGGAGACCTGGAATAATGTATATGACCCCTCAAGAGTTGCAGTTTTCATCTGTTTCTCAAGCTTTATCTTCCTTCCTGCTCAACTTTTTTTCTTCATTGCAGTCTGCTCCTCCTTGCATTTTCCCATTATTTTTCTCTTTTTGCCCCCACCTGAGAATGATGAATGCTTTCATTGTATATAGCTGGTTTCTAGAATATATACTCATTAAATTTGGGGAAGGGAAGGAATTGACTATACATACTTCTTTTAAAAGTTTTTTTTTTTTCATTTTAATGGACAAACACTTGAAAAATAATTTTATTTTCCACTTCATAATTAGAGAAATAGGAAAAACAGAATGAGAAAGAACAGTAGTCTTTGCTGTTAGCATTGGATTTACACAGCATTAAAAATTGAATTGAGTATTATTCTTAGAGTTTCTCCAAGGATTCATCTCCCAAAAAATAATGCCTCCTATGTTAAGCTAGACTCTTTGTCACTCTGTTATTATTGCCTGAACACATTAGCTTTACTTCAGAATTGGGCCAATGTAAGTGAACAAAACTGTATATAAAGAGACTTTTTATTTATCCATTTTCAAAGCTACTTTCCCCCTATATTTAAAAGTCCTATTTCAAATTCACTGGTCTGTCATTTTAGTATACAAATTAATTATTTTTTTAAAAAGTCACAAAAAGGGCTTGGCACCCATAGCACAGTGGTTATGGTGCCATCCACGTACATTGAGGCTGGTGGGTTCGAACCCAGCCCAGACCAGCTAACCAACAATGACAACTGCAATAACAACTAGCCAGGTGTTGTGGGGGGTGCCTATAGTACAGGTACTTGGGGGGCATAGACAAGAAAATCACTTAAGCCCAAGACTTTGAGGTTGCTGTGAACATGCTACAGCACTCTACCAAGGGCAACATAGTAAGACTCTGTCTCAAAAAGGAGTTAAAATTCATCTGTTAGTCTTTTTAGCACTTTATGATTTTTTTATGTTTTAACAAGGTAATTACTATGCAAACATAGCAATGATTAACCAAAAGGTGTTGCTATGATTTACCTGGGGAATTTGTTTTAGTTGGAATCTGTTTCAGTATCTGTAAAATTGGATCAAATAAGGGACTATTTCTATTGTAGTACTAAAACTAATTTCTACGAGTAAGGGAGTTATTAACTATATTGATTTGATTAATGAATATAGCCATCTAGAACACTCTTTGATAATTAGATGCTAGCTATTATAAATATGAAACAATTCAAACATATATCCCCAAATCTATCCACTTCTATCTGATTATGTTCTATTTTTCTATTGGTTTTAATTGGGAAGTGTATACAATTTATGCAAACAACTTTCTGCTCAAGAGTGATGTACAGTGTTGAATTTTGCTGACTCTGTAAGTGTGTTTTATCTTACCAACACAGTGAATCATCTAAACATATTTAAATAAGTATCGTTGGTGTTGACCCTGGTATAAGAAAATACTCAAGTCATTTTTTCCTTCATTTTTCCCTTTTCTATTCTTACATTGAAGTTGCTTCATTCTCCTGATGTTTCTTAGATTCTGGCATGTTTTATGTACTCTTTTTTTTTATACATTTAAGGTTTATTCTTACTTATGTATCGTTTAGATTATATAGATTCTATACAGTCAGTGAATGAGAAATAATATCTTCGCCCTTATCTAAATCTCACAGGGCAAAAGGTGTGTCTATTGTATATACTACTATATTCCTATAGCCCAGGATAGTTCCTGGCACAAAACATGATTGTATTTGTGTTTTTGCTGGACAGGATCAAAAAGTGATTATTTGTCACTTTAATATCCTGTACAATATATCACCTTATATATTAAGTAGCTGTGGTACTAAAAAATTGCTGACCCCTTTTGATTTTCATTCATCTCATCGATTAACTCTACCCACTAAAAATTTAACTTGTGAGGGTATTTCCTAAACCATTCAGCACTTTTTACAATATCAAAAAAAAGGAAATAATAATGGGTACTATGATTGTTCTTACTACTGTTAGCAAATAGTTTTCAATTTTCAAATTCTAGGACTGTGGCAGCATCATAACTACTACCTTGCCTCCTTGTGACTTCATGGGACCTAGACATTAGTCCTGGTCAATGAATTTTGGGAGAAATGATGAGTGTAACTTTACAACAAGCATATGATTAGTGATGCTAGAATCTCCAGAACTTTCTTTTTCTTTCTTGTGTGGTACCTGATGATGATCAAGATAATGACTGCTCTGTCACTCGGAGTCCCCTGACTGACTATGATGAGAAAAGAACCTACCAACTCATATCAAACCAAAGAGAGAAAGACTCTTTTGCTCTATCAAATCATTGAGTTTTGGAGTTACTGACATAACATATCCTACCTGGTATAGGTACTTTATCAGTGTTAAAATTTTAAACAGAATGATTTTGAATTTCCATGCAAAGAAGTAACCAAATACATATTTGCAAAAACCAAGACTCTTAAAACTTAAATTTTCACTTTGAAATATGTTTGTCCCCCATTGAACAACAGCTTCTATTAATAGAATGAGAACTATGTCTCTGCCTTGAGGAAAACGTACAATCTCTTCCAAGTGACTGCAGATCTCTGCACCAATGCCTATATGGACCAGTATAGACAAACAGTTTGAATTTCATCAGATCCATACAGAAAAACACCAGTGTACATGCCACCAATTTAAAAAGGTAAACAAGGGAGATTTCACCAGAGAAGACAGTAAAACTGTTTTATTTTACTGTTGTTATACAATTAAAGTTGTAATTAACATGTGTTCTCCAGAAAACCTTTCGATTATTTTAGATATATGTATACTGGACTTTAAAGTCCTCCATGCAGGCCACATGCTGCCTAAAACCTCCCGAATCCTTCTTTGGAGACCATACCCCCTTTGGCATTACTGAAT